AGAGAGAGAGAGGAAGAGAGAGAGAGAGAGAGAGAGAGAGAGAGAGAGAGAGAGAGAGAGAGAGAGAGAGAAGAGAAACCTGGGTGCTTTTATTTTTCTTTCTTCATTCTGCGTAAGTATCTACTCTGTGGACTAACCTTCCCTCAGGCTCCAAGGCCTAGATTGGAGGGCAGTAAGTTTGTGTGTCTATTTTTGTTCTCATGCTACACTACATCCTCCAACCCAGACTTTATTAGCAATAAGGCTTTATTGGGTTCTCTGTCTGCTTCTGTTCAGTGAAGGTCTCTACTCAACACAACCAGAGTGAACATTTGAAGATGCCAGCCCCTCCCCTGCTCAACGCCCATGAGTGGCCTCCCATTACACTGAGCGTGAAAGCCACTGTTTACCACGGCTTTCAGCAGTGGTGTGCTGGTAAATGTTCAAGAACCACAAAACCAAAGTATAAGTTTAATATACATTTTACTGATGTAAAGGATGCACTGACAGCACACCATTTCCAAGTAGTAAAAAATGTACACACAAAAACCTGCACACAAATGTTTATATCAGTTTCATTCATAATTGTTAAAACTTGGAAGCAACCAAGATGTCTTTCAGCAGGTGAATGAATAAATAAACTGTGGTGCATCCAGACAGCGGAATAGTATTCCGTGCTAAAAAGAAATGAGTTATTAAGCCATGAAAAGATATGGAGAAACTTTAAAATGTTTATTACTAAGTAAAAGAAGCCAATCTGAAGAGGTGGCATACGCATACTGTGTAATTCGAAGAGTATGACATTCTGAAAAATGTAAAACTATGGAGAGTATAAAAAGATCGGCGGTTACTAGGGGTTGGGGGAAGGGAGAAATGAATAGACAGAGCACAGAGGATTTTTAGGACAGTGAACTACTCTATATAATACAGGTGGATAGATGTTATAGTTGTCAAAATGTATAGACTATACAACACCAGGAGTGAACCTTAATATAGATTATGGATCTTTAGCATGTATCAATGTACAATAGTTTCATCAACTGTAACAAATGTATCACTGGTGAGCAGGATATTTATAGTGGGGGAGGTTGTGCATCTTGGGGGCAGATGGTCTATGAGAACTCGCTGTACTTTCTGCTCAATTTTGCTGTGAACCTAAAACTACTCTAAAAAATGAAGTCTATTAAAAACATAATATTCTATATAATTATCACATAATTCTTTTACTGATTTTTGAGAAAATCTTGTATTCATTACCAAGTTGTGGTTTCAATGGATGACTGAATATAGTTCTGACATATGGAAGGTCTGACAATTAAGTTCGTGAGCTCATCCTAGAAAAAGTGCTACATACCTCATTGCTGAATATCACTATGGTCACCTTTGAAGTACTCCCCTTGGGAAGCTATGCACCAATGTCAGTGCCTAGTTGACCCTTCAAAGCAATTTTGGAACTCTTTTTCTGGAATGGCCAGCAGAGCTGTCCATTGATGTCCTGAATGTCATCAAAATGTCTTTTTTTCAATATTTCCATTATCTTTGGGTAAAGAAAGAAGTCATTGGGGGCCAGATCATTGGGTGAGTAGGGAGGATGTTCCAATACAGTTATTTGTTTACTGACTAAAACTCCCTCACAAACAGTGCTGTGTGAGCCAGTGCATTGTCGTGATGCAAGGGCTATGAATTGTTGGCAAAAAGTTCAGGTTGCCTAACTTTTTTACACAGTCTTTTCAGCTCTTCTAAATAGTATAACTTGGTTAACTATTTGTCCAGTTGGTACAAATTCATAATGAATAATCTCTCAAAAAATGTTAGCAACATCATTGCAACAAGTTTGTGAACTTAATTGTCAGACCTCTTAAAGTGTTGGTTGGTTCCTTTGTCAAAAGAAAGGAATATGCAGAGATGTACATCAGAACTTCCTGGGTTCATCAATGACATGAGTGATTTCTTTGTTGAGTTGGATATTTTTGATACCTGAAAAATATTTTCTTATATTTTTGTGTCACCCACAAAGTAATGACCATGGACACAACATGCTTTTAAGTTTAATCTGCATTATTAATATTTCTCCACCACTTTCTTAAATCTAGACAATCAATATACAATCAAGACATTGTGTGTAGTGTTCACCTACTTTTGCTGTATAAATATTCTACCATGGCCAATTTCAAGCTACTAGTGAGCTATCACTCAACTGGAGATGGGAAGAGCAGCAGCACATCATTATAGAGTATTTACACCATGTGGGTACAGTAGTCATAAATAACCTCAAGAGCATAGGTACTAGTAAAATGTAGCCAACAATTCAAACGCGATGCGTTTTGAGCATGACCTTTCTTTTTAATAACTTAAAAAGAAATAATTTATTTCTTTTATTATTTTAATAATTTATTTATTTTTAAGTTTATATAATTTAATTTTAACCAATGGCTGTACTCAAAACAGGCTTACGAAATCTCTGGAAATGTAACAGTCGGCTCTCATGCACCGGTATGAGCCCGTTCTGGGACTGCACTGCCTGTAATGTTCTGCGAAGGCAGAGACAAGAGAGCGTGACTATACTGGGAAAGTTGTGACTAGAATAGCTACTTAACTGTCACCTGTATGAATCAATTCTCTTATTTCTTCTATTTATTGAGGGTCTCACTGAACTATTGTTATCTGTCGGCCTCCCTCCATATCTAGGTAATTATTAAAAATAAACAAAATGTGATTTAAAAGTGTTGGGATTATACATAGTTATAGAGTTATAGTATATAATATATATTTAAGATGATACGTAATTATATAATTAAAATTAGTATTATACATTTACATTATATAATAAAATTAAATTATATTAAAGCACAATTTATATATATATAAAATTATATATTAGTGCCTTACAAAAGACAGACATCCCTAGAACTTTCCACCATGTGAGGACACAGCAAGAAGGTGCCATCTATGAACCAGGGCCCTCTCCAGAAGTCAACCATGCTGGCAACTTGACCTTGGACTTCCCAGCTTACAGGATTGCAAGAAATAAATGCCCATTATTTATAAGCCATCCAATCTATGATATTTTGCTATAGCAGCCAAAACGTACTAAGACAGCCGCCCTCCGTTTAACCAACCTCTTTCTACTGCCACTCCCTCAGGAAGACAGCCACCTGCCTCATTCCACTCGAGCTCTGGCACCTGCTGCAAAGGCCCCTCCCCTCGGTGTGGACCTTCCTCAGCCTCCTGGGCTCTGACTCCTTCCTCCGGACTACTGCAGCATGTGCCCCCTTCCACTGTTGACACCTACCTTGTGCTGCCCCACCTAATAGCTTTTGAGCTAATTTTGGGGAAGGAAAAGGAAAGAGAAAGAGGGAGAGAAAGAGGAAGAGGAAAAATAAACTTTTTTTAACAAGCACACTACACTTTTGTTTTATTCATAGAATAAGTCTATATCCTTCCAAAGACATTACTTTGAAGAAAAAATCTAATTTGGATATATTACAATAATTATAACAATGGTTGTATAATACTTTATACATTCTAAATAATTTTCACATATATTACCTCTTTTAATCTTAGCAACATTGTGAGATGGGTAGAACAGACATTCTCCTTGTCCTAATTTTAGAAATAAGGAAACTGAGACTTTACAGTCATTAGTTATATTTCAGTAGATGCATAAATAAGAGAGATGTTAAAATTAAAAAGAAATACAAAGGTAGAATGTCCAAAACCAGTACCATAAAAATGGTTTATTCAATCACAAGAATCACAAATTGGCAAAGTAAAAATGGATATGATATTGTTCTCTACAAAGCCTAATTTGAGTTCCTATTACATGCAAAGAACTGCACTTGGAAAAGAGACAAAAGACACAGATACTGACTGTCTATGTAACCTGCAAATCGACAGCCCATTATGCTCTCTTGGAAAATATCAGGAAAGGGGGATTTGAAAAGCATTGTGCCTACTTTGGTATTTCCACGGTTAGGAAAATTTGTACTCTCCAAAGCTCATTTTGGGACATGGAAACACCATGGCTCATTTGTTTTGTTCCCAGCCAAACGGAACAATCGCACAACTAAAATAAGAAAACAGCTGCTCTGAGCCCTACACAGCCAATTGCAGAAGCCCAGGATGGAGGAAAGAGTATTAGAGGTCAGCCCAAGGATATATGGAGGATTAAATGAAGTCCTGTATACAAAAGCCCCCAGCAGAGCACCTTGTTCATAGCAGGCCCTGGATCAGTAGGGAAAAAACAAAAAACAAAAAAAAAAACTTATTTACTGTATTTATCCTAGGAAGGAAGGTAGGTACCAGGAAGTTAGTTACTTTCACAGAGTGGCAGCACAGGTCTAGGCCTGAAATTTGCAGTCTAGCTTTTCTCATTTTAACACTCTGCCAAGGCAGGATAGAAGATAAATTCAAGATCAAAATGATCTGCAGGGTTTCCTGAATCAAATGGTCACATTCATTTACAAAACTTGGCAATCCCTTCTGAGAGTTAAGAGCCACTCTGTAGGGTTCTATCAATACACAGGCAATTAAATTGGTGCTGATATTAGCACAGGCCCCGAGTTATTGTCAGGCTTTTAAAGGATACTGCTAACAAAACAAAATACCTATTCTGAATTAACCAAAGTTTATCTCAGTGAGTTGAGTGTATATCGTTAGGAAGAAGTTATTCTTTTGTTTGTGTTGTGTGAGTATGTGTGTTTGCTTTAGGAGAGTAAATGAATATCTCAAAATACATTTGAGTTTAACCACATACACATAATTTGTATGAGACAAACTCCCTTCTCCATTCCCTATACATAAGCCATGTGCTATTGTATCTCTGTGCCTTTTCATCTCCTTCTTCTTCTGCTTGGTGAGCCCTCCCTCCTGTTTTGTGCATGATGAGCTGCTCATCAATCAAGCTCTAGCTAACATGTCATCTCTTTTACAAAACATTTCATCAAATCCTGTAGGCAAAGACAATTTTTCCATCTTCTACTCTCACCAAACCCTGTTCCATACCTCTCCTCCAAAACTTACTAAGTACCCATCATGTGCTATGTACTGGGCTAAGTATAAATAAAAGTTAACATTTATTATGCATTTACCATGTGCCAATACTGTACTACACGTAGCGTCTGTTGCGTTTTTAATCCTCACAACAATCCTGTGAGTGTGGGCCTATTGTATCATCATTTTAAGGATGAGAAGACTGAGGTGCAGGCAGAGTAAGTAAATTTACAAACTGACTAAGTGGCACAGATTTAAAGCCAGACTGCGAGTACAGCTGTTAAGGACTTTGTACTCGCATGTTGCCTTCTTTAGAGATGTGGCAGTCCTGAATTTGCTGCTCAGATTTCCTCCAAAAGATCCTGGACCCGGGATCTTGACTGACAGCCCCAACTGCCTCTGGTCTCAATGCACCGCAGCACCTGCTCCTGGCCTGTAGGACAGGCAGGGGTGGAACTCGTGCCAACCCATGTCTATTCAATGGTGATTCTTTTAATGGGCAACTTTTGCTTGGGGAATCCCTGTCCCTGTTAACAGCAATCCCTATGAAAACCATTGTATCCAACTGCTCATAGACTAAGGCAGCCATCTGCCTGCCAACCTGAAACTGTTTTGGTAGGTGGGAGGTACCCATGAAGGTAAAACATAAAAAAAAGGCTGTTAAATACAAGAAAACATTGTATTATAGTAACACGAATATGTTTAAAATAAGTCAACAGGAAAACACACACACACACACACACACACACACAGAGGCATCTTTTGTATTAAGAAAGGAAGCATTGTAAAATAAAACTGAATTTGTGTTCGCTGTTGAAAACTATTTCCCCGTTGCTTTTATTGGTTGGTCGGTTGGTTTCTGTGGGCACATGAACGCGCATATGGGTGTTTTCTCCCACTGATGACCCTTGTTGAGTGGTCTTGGTCCACTGCTTTTCCCCTTTTGGAGTCACTACATAGTGCTGCAATGTGTGTATATTTTTCATGTATCTGTTCATTTTTATGAATTCTAGGGGTTTTTTTTGTTGTTAATTACATTTGATTTTTCTTCTGTTAAAAAAAGAAAGCTTCAGAAGCAGGCTGCAGTCTGTGGCTCTTCCCACAGCCTTCCTTCCTGCTCTCTTCACAGCGCGTGAGGGCACCTCCCTGCCAGCTCCTGCTTTCAACCTCTTTACCCTTGACGGGCATTTCCACCAATAAGCCTTTTCCTATCCAGTCCTGTCTCGGTGTCTGCTTCTCAGAGGAGGAAAACTGAGAAAATACATATGGCTCAAGATCGGTGTCTCAAAGAACTCACAGTCCCTCTGGAAAAATGGCCACATAAATTTAAAACATGTATATAATTCAATGTGATAATTCCTATAATCGCAGTAGATATAAAGCATCTTGGGAATGCAGATAAGGAAACAATTGCTCTGTGTGGAGCAGATGAATGTATATTAAGGGAAAATACAAGGAAGAGATGACTTTTAGGTTGGATCCCAAAGGAATACTTAGAATGAATGTATTTCAGAAAGAGAATAATATTAGCAAAGACACAAAAGTATGTAAGTGTTTAATATGTCCAGGAAATAAGATTCTTGTCTATTTCTGGGCAATTGCTTCACTGTTTTCACACTTAAAAAAACAAAACCATAGATCAGCAAAGCAAACTTTGTTCAAAGCTTTCAATTTCAAGGGACATTCCAGCCACAGTCTTGCCAAGAGCAAAGACAGCATGAACCTCATGACCTGGTAACCCACCCATGCCCCCACTTCCATCTGTATTTACTGTACATGACATGTGCCAGGCACAGACAGGTCGTCAGAGGAAGATCACAGACTTAGATATGGTATGACATAAAAGGTTCTGAAAAATCAGAAATCTGCAGGAAAATAAGAGGTTTTCTTGCCCTCATTATTTCCTCTCCAAGAGACAAGAAAAAAAAATGAGATGGAGCAGTCTAGGGTAAACCCTATGAGAATGAGGCCAAGTAAGTGTTAATACGCTCTGTGATGAGTCTCTGGGGATTCAATTTATCTGAAAAACAGAAAGGAAGGTGCATCCTTGGCAGAGACATTCCTGCATTTCCAGAAAAAACTTTGTAGCCTGACTATTATAGGAGGTGTGCTAGGTGTTGAAAATTTTGGAAATGCAGAAACACAAATGAGGAAATAAAAACCACCCATAACTCTATGGCACAAAGCAATATAGGCATGTGTGTGTGTGTGTGTGTGTGTGTTTAGAATATGTTTGAAATGAAAGGGTTAACATAGCATGGAACATTTTATAAACAGCTTGTATTATTTAATGTATTATGAGCTCCTCCTCCCATTAAGAAAATTTCTTCGGAAATCCCAAACACTAATTAAAAAAGATATATGCACCCCTATGTTCACTGCAGCATTATTTATGATAGCCAAGATATGGAAGCAACCTAAGTGACCATCAATAGATGACTGGATAAAGAAGATATGGTACATATACACAGTGAAATATTACTTGGCCATAAAAAGTGAAATCTTACCATTTGTGACAACATGGATGGACCCAGAGGGTATTATGCTAAGTGAAATAAGTCAGACAGAGAAAGACAAATGCTGTATGGTTTCACTTAAATGTGGAATCTAAAGAACAAAATAAATGAAGAAACACAGAGAACAAATTGATGGTAGCCAGATGGCAAGGGGTTGGGAGGATGGGTGAAGGAGGGTAAGGGATTAAGAAGTACAAATTGGTAGTTACAAAATAATCACGGGAACGCAAAGCACAGAATCAGGATTATAGTCAATAAGATTTTAATAACTACGTAGAGTGCCAGGTGGGTACTACACTAATGAGGGGGATCACTTTGTAAATTACATAAATGTCTAACCACAATGCTCTGTACACCTGAAATTATTATAAAATAATATCAAATGTTAACTGTAATTGAAAACATTTTTTTTCCTTTTGCTTTGATTTCTACAATATTTTCCTCTTCTATTTATCAGCTCTTTCTTTCTTTCCCTGACTTGTCATCTTACAATCCCTTCTTAAATTTGAGGTTTCCTTGGGTCAACACTTTTCTCCATTCATTCAACCTGGTCTTCAGCATGGCAGGGTCACCATTCCCTGGTCTTCACGGCTGCTCATGCACTGATAGCTCCCTTCACAAATATGCTTGTAAACCCCAGACCAACATTTTCTGTCTATTAAACATCTCAACTTGAATATCTCACACGTAACTCAAACTCATTCTATAAAAAACTGACTTCATTCATAACATCACCCTCAAACCAACTTCTGTTAAAGCCTTACCTTAGTTTTTAGAAAATATTGGTTATATCCTGAAGCCAGGAGGCTATAATGCTTGCTTGCTTTCTCTTTCTCACTCCCAATACCCATTGGTCACTAAGTATGACCTTTTCTACATGCAACCATCTCTCCCATTGCTCCATTCTCTCCAGAATGTCTGGAATGGCCTTTGTAAGGGATCCTATCATCTCTCACCTGTACTGTTGCAAGAGGTCCTTAATTTGTCACCCTTCACTATATCTACTCATGCCTACATCAAGGAATGAGTGCAAGATAAGAAACGAATTTAAAAATAGACTATTCTTTTTTTCCCAAGAAATTTTGCAGATAAGAGTAAGAAAGACAGAAACATTTAGAAACATCAGGAGACAGGGTTATGGCAAAGGTTGTCTGTTTTTAATGTGGAGAAATTTAAAGAATATTTGTAGACAGCAAGGGAAGGAAGGAGCTAAGTAAGCCTATAGTGTAAGAGAGAGTAAACAGGGCAAGTTTCCTAAGAATGTGGCAGGGAGAGATCCCAGAACAACCCTTAGGACCTGAAACAAAGGAAGCAATAATAGCTCAAAATCTATATTTGAGGCCAGTATGGAGGGGGTTTATAACTGAAGGAGTTTATAAACCCTTGAATTCTCAATTAGGTCATCTGCTAAAGGTGAAAGAAAGAAGGCAAAGTGGGACCTTTTAAAAGATTGGTAAAAGCTTGGGACACTTGGTCTTGAACACTGGTGAATGAAATTGAGTAAGGATAAGCAATTATCTTTTAACATGTTCACCATTGCCACCCACACCTAATACCATCCTTGGTGTGTAATGAGCCCTCAGTAAACATTATAGAGATTAAGCACCACAGTGGTAGAAACTAGGTCTTATTCATGCAACTAGCAGTGTGCCTAGTCACTGCAGAAACTCAAGAGTCAAAAGAATGAATTAGTCAATAGAATATTACATGAAAACATCATTAGCCACATTTTCTAAAACTGGAAGCTTCTCATACTATCATATTATCTCATATTCAAGTTGACTTTATCAGAAAGGAACGAAGACAATTTATGTTAATTACAGAGATTTGTTAATTAAATTATTTCTTAGAATATATTTAAATAAAAATTAGATAATCTCCTCATGCTTACTGTCAGATTATACAATGGAAATAAATACTAGAATTATGACTCAAAGTCATAAATATTCTTCAATTTTCAAGTATGATATCGAAATAGTCATTATACTCTAATTACCCAAGACAGGCAACAGAATTAATTTTCTTTAGAGATACTTGAAACATCTTTAAGAGATATTAAAACAAATAAGGGAGGCTTCTAATAAATTCTCAATAAATATATGCTACGTCATTTTGAAGTTACCTATACAAACAATTAGTTCTACCTTGACTCTGTCAGTGCGGCTGTTGAAAAGTCCAATCCGTCTAATGGTGCTGAGGATGGGATCAGTAGAGTCATCAATCATGTTGTGAGTGGTCACTGGAGGCAAAGACTGTCGCTGAATCATGGAAGAAAATGTCAATTGTCCAAAGAATTAATGTGTGACTAATTTCAGCAATAGGTCATTGGTGACCTGTCATCCAACCTTTTTGCCTGAAGTCTTTCGAGATGACACTAATGATGATGACTAAGTTTTGTTTGTGCTTCAAAGGAGGATAAGGGGTTGAAGGACTTCCTCTGGATATTGTGAGCACAGGACACTTTTGTTTTTCACTTGCAGCCAAGATTTCTTGCCTGCTTCTGGGACTTATTTAAAATAAGAGTGTCCTGAAATCTTGACTTAAGATGAGCTACGCTCCTGGATCCTTCTAGTGGGTCTGTCTTCTGGTACCTGAGGTCTCACTATTTTGACAAGATTTGGGTGTATGCCTAGCACAACACTTATCTTTTCCTCTTTGCAATAATTCCATTTGGCTGAGAAACATTCACCTTTTCTCTGCTGTAACTCAAAATTCTATGCTTTTTGAAAAATTGAGGTTTTTGTTGTCATTGCAATATACACAATTTTTCAATTGGATATTTTGGTTCCAAATGAATTTGTGTGTATGTGTGTGTGTATGCACATGCTCCAGGGGAGGGCACAAATGCAGCCCATCACTATGCACATGCGCCAGGGGAGGGCGCAAATGCAGCCCATCACTGGCACAAATCATGCAGTCCAGTTTCCCACACTTAGGGAAATCACCAGCACCAGCACACCCGGAGTGCAATGGGTAAGCCTTGCTCAGAAAACCACCTTTGTGATCATGGTACCTCCCCAGCCAGGTAAGTATCAAATGAATTTCTTAATTGGATAAAAAGACAAATTCCAGGCGATTTATAAAAGGAGCCCTGAAAACCATTCATAAAAGACAATATACAAAGCTGTCCTTTAGGTGAATACATAAGAATGACTTTCTAGTTTTTGGGTTTAAAAATTTCCCAAATTAGCTCATTCTGATAAATGAAAATATTGACCTAAATTGATTTTAACAGTTATGGGAAGTGGTTGGCACTTTTTTTTAATTACCTGAGTTGAAAAGATGGCCCTTTTCATAATTGTGAGATCATCTCGATCCAAAATATTATGCATGTCAGGAATTTCTCCTCTGTGGGGAAGACAAGGTTAGTAATAAAAATAAAAACAACTGGCACTAATTCTTATAAAATAATATCATTATTATTTGCTTCCTATGCTTCCTATGTGTCACTGTTCTAAGCACTTTTAAAAATAAATATAAAGCAAACATTGTTTGCTGATGAAGCTCACCGACGGATTCCTAAAGTGTCAAGAAGCATGATAAAAGAACACATTTGATAACATAAAGGAAAATTAAAATCCATTTTTAAAGCATTAATGCTGATCATCAGAGAGATGCTTTCATTATATTTTGCCTACTCCTCAGTACTATGCTATAAAGTGCCTATAACTTGTCCATCTATACGTTGGTATTTTTACTAATAAAAAGAAATTATTCCCACCTGCCACCACAGGTCAGGAAACAACAGAGATCATAGCCAAATTAATATATTTTGTATGTTATTTTTATTTTATAATACATTTTAATTTGATTTTATTATTTAGGTTTTATTGTACTTATACATTTATTATATGTTATTATTTATTAAGTTAATGCATGTTAACATTAATTAATGTTAATATAATATATAAGTAAATAGGTATTTAATAGATATTAAGTCAATATATATTTTTACTTCAAACTTTCATAAACTCTCCTCCCTCAGCTTCAGATTGGCATATTAACTCTTAATGAGATTCCCATTGAATTAGAGCCTATCCTCATATATAAATATGTTCTCATGGTACAACCTGTTTGTAAGTATTTGTCAGATGAAGGATAAAAGAACACTTGCTCACATGATATAACACATCTTTAAAGGTTATTCATTCCTTTATACTTGGAACAAAATAAATACATTTTAGCATCTAAATTGCTAAGTTTGAATAGTGACACCCCAAATGTTTGACATGTTAAGTAGTCGAAGCGCCTACCTTAATAATGCATCATAGAGTTTCTTTCCAAACTTTTCCTTCACTGAATGTGCAGTGTCCCTGGATGAACAGAAAGATTTATAATTTAAACACTGTCACAATTTTAAATCTTTATTTGTCATAACAATGCTATTGTTTTATCAGTGCATTGTTGAAATTACAGGCCTCTTTTGTATAGCCTCTTTAATTATTTTCCTATTTGTCAACTTGGCTTGAGTTAAAACCTCCAGAGCCAAGGCAGCAGAATAC